ATGATTTTTTCATCTTGTTATTATTAAGTAGTAGAGCTTTGATTGTATTACACGCTTATGGAAATGTTATGTTTAGTTCTGACCTTGAGTGTTCTCGCACCCAAAACACTTTGAGTGAATTGAGTGAACCTTTGTGAGAAATTGAGTTAGGTTGAATTGAGATTGATGAATGATTGAGAGTTACGATTTTTATTTGACTTGATTCTACTTATGTTTATTCAATTGATTGATGTCTTGATTCAAGTAGTTATTGTGAACTTGGCTTGCATAATTTACTTTGGTATGAGACAAAGCGAAGGAAGGTAGATTGAATTTTGACTAATTTGATCAAAACATGCTTCAGGACAAGCATGAGACAAGTGAAGGGGAATTTGATGAGTGTTCTAGATTGTCACTTTTTACTTGTTCTTTTTCCCATTTTATGAATTTACTACTGCTTATTTGGGTTGTGTTTCGCTTATTTTTGTGTGTTGGAGACATGAGCACGACACGATCTGACATGGCAGTATCTAGAAGGTCCAGTCAACATCAGGAAGATTCTAGAAGTAGCCTACAATCCAAGGATATATTTTGGGAAATTTAGTTTTTAAGTTTGAATTTAAACATTTGAAATTATCTCTAGGATTGTTTTTTCAATTTAAATATTTTATATTTTAGGGATTTGGAAAACTATAAATACCCCCTTAGGGGTATGGTTGACATATCTTGAATTTACTTTTGTTACTTTATTCTTATAAACAAGTTTTCTTTTTTTCATATTGTTTTATTTACTTAAGTTTTTATTCGTTCTTACAAAACATGCTAAGTTTGATTCATATCATGCTTAGTTAATTTTCTTATTATACGAAAGTTAGAGATGACTTAATTCCAAATGTGATAATTGAAAACCACTTAACACCTTTCGGGTTACATTCTCGATTTTCTGCAAAATCATTTTGGCAATTGACCTTACTTTTAAATTCGAAATACTTTCTTTTCAAAAAGTAACTTTGGCCTAGATGTTGTTCTGATTTATAATTGGGAGGAATGATCGGCCTGTGGCATTTTCGACTTCCTGTGAACACACTTAGTGACAGTTCGCTAAGGAAAATTGAGATCTGATCCGATTCTCGTTGAGACAACATAATCCGAGTCATGTATTTTTAGTACTTAACTCTAAATTGTTCTGACGACAATAGATGTGGTTAGTTCATTCAAGGACCGAATTTCGAAGAGTGACTTGGGAAGATTGGTTGCCAAAGAGAAAGACAAGTTACAAAGGATTGGGTACTATAACCGACATGAATTCCAGAGTAAAATCTATTTTTGATTAAAAGGAATTGAAACAAAGCTAGCTCGAGGCTATTTTCTCATAATTATTTTCAAGATTTTATTTTACTTCTTTTATTTATTTTTCAACTCTTATTCACAAGCCGCTCTTTCTATTTATTCCTTGTTAGAGATGCCTGGATTAAAATCGACACACTAAATCAATTTCTAAGTCCCTGCGGGATGACCCTTTTCTTCACAGTACTATTCTTATTTCTATTATTTTATTTTGAGAAGAGGAACTTATTTGACGAGTAAAACGGCTCTTGTCACCAAAGTCCCTCCAATTCGATACGATCAATATCCTCCTCATGGAACAAATGAAACAAGAAATGATTACCCCCAATTTCGTGATGGCGATCCCTCCAATTAGATGCCACACATTCGCCAGAGTTACTCGCATAACCTGAAAATTAAACGCGGTAGTCGTGAGAAAACGAAAAACAAAATAGTGTTCAAAAGAGATCGACGAAACAACTGTTGGTTGTTATAACACTAAAACTTCCTCTTCCCCAGATCTAAATTCTCTGATTCACTCTCAACCTTTCCCATGTTGAAACACAAAAAACCAAAAAGCAGATTTGATAAAACTAGCAAAGCTAGAGAAAGACTAGAATGATCCAGTTACTGACTACACAATCAAATAAAAAGTAGAGGAATCCTAGCACAGAAGGATACTTAAAACAAACAAAAGTTTTTTTAAAAAAAACTTAATGAATTGATTTGAGTTCCTTCAAGATTAATTCTTACTTCTTAGCGTTGATGTGGTACAAATAATTAAATCACAACACTAAAAAGTCGAGGCTTTAGGGTGGTCATTTTTTGCTGCTGTTGTAGACTCAATTTATCATTTTTTCTCTTATCATATTTTCGCATCAATTTAGCCCTTAAAGTTGCTTAATTGCATCATTCTATATCCTACCCTTGACTTAAAACCCTAAATTATTAATCCAAAATTAGGATTTAAGCTTAGAGTTTAGGGTTTAGAGTTTATGTGGTTATGGTTTAGGGCATAGAGGTTATAATTTAAGGTTTTAAGTTACGAGTAGGGTATAAAATGATGTAATTGAGCAACTTCGAGTGTTAAATTGATGCGAAAATACGATAAGGACGAAAGTAATAAATTAAGTCTACTACAAGAGTAAAAGTTGCCCTTTTGCCAAAAATCAACATAGCATAAAGTGTATAAACAAATAAAAATTTACCTTGAATTTTATTTTTTAGCTCGTTGATTACAAAGCTAAGAATTAGCTTAATATTACTTTAAATAATATAGAAAAAATGTTTTTATAAAATAATTTTTAGAAGATAAGTTTTTTTTTGTTGAAAATTTAGAGGATTAGTTTAAGATTTAAATGTTTAGAGTTGATGTTATTTTTGAGAAGATAAACGATAACTTTAGATACCATTGCAAGTTAAAAATTATATATTTAAATGATATAATATATAAAATTTATCAATTTAAATTATGATCAATATATAAAAAAATTAAAATAAATTTATAACGATTGTACATCTATGAAAATCTATCAAATTTAAAACAAAATTATTTAAAAAGTTAACAAGAAAAAAAATATATTTTTAATAGTCCAAGGTGAATATATAAAATTTAAAACAAAATTATTTAAAAATTAACATGAAAATATATATTTTTAATAGTCAAAGGTGATTATAAGTGATGATATTTGTTTTAAAAACTTTAAATCATTTGACAATGAATGTTCATAATAGTCTGCAATCATTGGTGCTCGAATCATCTTTTAACTATTAAGATTGTTTGATTATGAAAAAACTTAATCCATAAATAATCTATAAATCATAAAATTATATAAAATCTAAAAACATTTGTAAAACTAACATTTTAATTTTTCACATTTAAACTAAAAATATTTTCAAACCTTTTTTTTTAAAAAAATTATCAATTTAATATTTACTTATTTCTCCAGAACGATGAAGGAGCCTTAGGCAACGTGGTGCAAAAATAACGTTTCCTTGTGGCAAAGCCCTTTGAACCTTATCCTCTCTCCGTAAGACAGTTGCATGCAGCAATATTTCTTTTATTTTAATATTTTCATTTCTCAGTTCTCAAAGTGAAACATTAGAAAAAAATTGGAAAATACGTCAATGTTGATTTAAAAAATATTTTGGGAGTCGTCATTGACCTTTTTGGGTTAGGTAGGTCAAATACCTAAAAACAATATTTTAAAATAGTTTTTAAGAAAACATAATTTAAAAGATAAACTGATCTGAGTATAACCAACAATTTTTAATAAAAAAAGATTCGTGGTCGATTACGTTTAGGGAATGATTAGCACCCTTATAACGCCTAAAATTGGTACTCATTAATTATAAATTGTCTCTATTATTAGAAATTTAAAAATTCGAAGATATATTTAATTTATAATCCTATTTATTTCAAATTTATTATTATAATTTTAAGAAAATTTATTAATTTATATATATATATATATATATATATATAAATAAGATATTTATTTATTTAGAAATATCAGAAAAGGGTTTCTAGGTGCTTTAAGACAACTCTTTTCTTTATATTTAAAAATAAATAAATATGAATAAAACATTTATCTAAAAAAATTAAAATATATATAATTTAAAATATTTATTTATTTAAAAATATCATAAAGTGGACATCCAGTTGCTTTAAGACTGCCCTTTCTTAATATTGAAAAATAAATATTAAAATATGTTTAAAATGATTGAAAAGTAATTTATTAAATTTATAAATAGGATTTTAATAGAAATAAAATAAATAGATAAATATTATTTATTATATATATATTTACATGATTAAATAATAATAATAATAATTAAATATATTAAAATAAACATGTAAAATTAAAATATGGCTGAACAATGAATAAATAAAATTAAACCTATATATTAAAAAAACTTGTAATTAAAATAAATGAAAATATTAAAATTAGTGACTAAATTATAACATATTAAAATTAAATACCTAATTTGTAATTAATTATTTAAAATTACAGGGATTAAACATGCTATTTTACATTTATTTAATTTAGGGACTAAAATAAAATTATATCAAATTCGAATATTAAATTAAAACAAATTAAAACATGTTGTTCGGGACTAAAATATTATTTAATAAAATTATAAGGACTAAATCTATTATTCACCTAAAATATATATTATTTTATGTAAAATACTAAAATAAATAAAATTAAAATTAAGAAATCGAATTAAAAAGATCTAAAATTTGATTAAGTGACCAAAATATAAGATTATATAATTGTAATGGCAGCGGGTATAGTTTACTCATTATCAAAATTACACAAAGGCCCCACAAAACTACATTGTTTTGGTGAAGGTATTTAAATCCTATTATAGCCGGCCCTAAGGGCCATTTTCTCATCTGTTCTTTCCTCTTCTCTCTCTAGCTGAGAGAGTTAAAAAACACTCTCGCCTCTCTAGGATTCCCTCACTGGAGGGAATCCGATCATCAGCCGGCAGCCGTTTGTCGCCGCCAATCTCACCGTCGGCCACCACCTATGGTGGCCGGGAAATATTATTTTACACAGAAATAAAGCCTCAATTTTCCCAAGGCCGAATATGGCCTTAGTTTCTTCTAAAAGACTCCTAATCGGAGTAGATCTAAGAAAATACCTTTAGTATTTTCTTTTTTCCGGCGGCGTTTGATGTTTTCAGCGATGATGCTTCAAGGGTAAGTTCTTCTTCTTCTTTTTCCGAATGGTTGTTGTTGGTTTTCTAGCTTTCTTCGTGTTTTTTTCTTGGCAGGGGCTCGGTTTCTTTTATAGCCACCACCGGTGATGTCTTCAGACCTGGTAATAGAGCGGTTTTCGGTGAGTCACCGAACTATGTGGTGACTCACCCCATAGATGCGACGTGCACGGCTGGAGTTGAACTCTCTAGAGCCCTTGGTTTGAACTTGGCAGCAGCTGAAACGGAGTGGAGTGGCGGCAAAAGCAACGGCGGCCGCGTGGCCCTAGGGTTATGATACCCTAGGGTTTCAAGCTGGTGCATCTGGGACTGTTGGATCAAGATTAGATCCAACGGCAGCAAGCAATGGCGGCTGGGAGTAGAGGGAAACCCTAATTTGATTTCAGGGTTTAGTTGGGCCGGTTGTAGTTGGGCCTGGCAGGGTTGGATCGGGCCTATGTTGTAAACGGGCTCTGATTTTGGGCCTGTAATATGTAATAATAATATATATTAATAATAATAAAAAATAATAATAATAATATTTATTAATAATAATAAAAATATAATAAAAATTATTATTATTATAATAATTATAACAATTATAACAATTATAATAATAATAATAAAAATAAAACGGGCAAAAATTTAGTGTCTACACCTATCCCTCTTTGTAAATTCTTATGTTAACAAGAATAGGGCAAAGACGAAAGGACAATAAATTTTTGTTCAGTTGACTTCTCTTGATTAAGATGGAAATTTTGAACAAGTTCTTCTTATTATGAACTCTTCCATTTTTTCCACTGGGGATGATAATCTATCTTTTTCTGTGATGTAATTCAACAAAAGGTTGAACAAGTTCTTCTCATTATGAACTTCTTCTTCTTTTTCAGATGAATTCTTCTCATTATGAACTCCTTCTGGAAATGTTGATCTTCAAAAGAGGTATTGTTGATTTAACTTCAATATGTGATGAATTAAAGGCAAGATTGAACAAGTTCTTCTCATTATTAACTTATTTTCCTTCTTCAGATGAGTTCTCTCATTATGAACACTTCTGGAAATGTTGATGTTGATCTATCTCCTTCTGTGATAGAATTAAACAAAGGTTGAACAAGTTCTTCTCATTATGAACTTCTTTTTCCTCTTCAGATAAGTTCTTCTCATTATGAACTTTCTCTGGAAAAGTTGATCCATCGAGTGATGAATTCAAACAAAAGGTTTGAACAAATTATGAATTTCTTCTTCCTTCTTCAGATGTGTTCTTCTCATTATGAACTCTACCTGGAAATGTTAATGCTGATTTATCTCCTTCTGTGATAGAGTCATGCAAAGGTTGAACAAGTTTTTCTCATTATGAACTTCTTATTCCTCTTCAGATAAGTTCTTCTCATTATGAACTTTCTCTGGAAAAGTTGATTCATCTAGTGATGAATTTAAACAAAAGGTTGAACAAGTTCTTCTCATTATGAACTTCTTCTTCCTTCTTCAGATGAGTTCTTCTCATTATGAACTTCTTTGGAAACGTTGATCCATTGAGTAATGGATTCAAATCTTTGCTAAAATCTTTGAAATTCCAGACAAATATTTAACATTGATAAAATGAATAAAAATGCCCCTATTTTGCAAATATTTAAATATGATGCATGAATGTTAAGTTCATCTTTTATTTGATTTCAAAGTGGTGAACTCGGTCTTTCTTCAATTGTGTAGAAATCCAATAAATCTTTCTTCTTTGAACAGAGAATCTATCATCTTTGTAGAATGTAGATGTATATATGCCTGAATTTTTGTATGATGTCACAAAACCACTTGAGAACAAAACTCAATGGTATAGGCTCTTGAAAAGGCCGCACTCATGCAACATGTTGATTCTCACTACTCATCTGATTATGAAGCGATCTTTCAGGATGATTTCACAGATATTGATAGTTCTTCTGATACCGAGGAAATCCTGAATTCTGATTATGATGAGGAGAATAAATTGTTATACTTGACGAAAATGGGGTACTCAGAGGCTGGGGCTTTAATAGCCATAGAGAGATGTGGTTCGGATTCATTAATTGCAGAATTGACAGATTTTATATGTGATGCTCAAATGGCTAAGGCTGCTGACGCACTTCTTCCAGTAGAAGATAGGAAGCCATTATGCAATGACCCTAATTACAAGAAAATGCAAAACCCAGGCTATGATTTTTGGAAAATGAAAAAAGCAAAGGAAGCTTGAAAAAAAGTTTCTTAATGAAGACGATCATGTTCATCTTTTAAATCCAATTATTGGTTTTGGGGTTCCTACCAAAACAGATCAGATAACTCAAAGAACACTTCCAGAAGATGCTATTGGGCCTCCTTATTTCTACTACGAGAACGCGGCACTTACTCCAGTTGTGTTTGGACTGAAATTTCATGGTACCTATATGATGTAGAGAAAGGATTTGTAGATTCGAAGTATTTTTGTTATGTTGCACGGAAAAGGGGGTATATTCGCAATCTACTAATTTGAGAACAGATTTCCTCTTATTCCGCTTCCAAATGACTCTATGGTGGTAATAACTTGTTTTCTTTTCAACAGTGATTGCAAATGTTGATAAGACTTACTTTGTATTCCATGTACTTAAAAGTATTAACATAAAGTGATAACCAAAAATATTTTGTTTGTTTCAAGATTATGTTAATCCATTTACCATATATTTATGTGAAAGAATAAATTGAATTTCGAAAATAAATTGAATTTCAAAAAGATATTCTTGGAATAAATAATAAATATATAAAAATGTATTCAAAGTAATGGAAAACATAGGAATGATAAAATTCAAATGACTCAACAAATTATTAGCATAAGTATTTCTAAACTAATCAACTTGTATAATTTAGAGCACTGAGGTAAGCTTATGTCTGGAAGATCTCAAACGTTGATAGAATGCTTGTAGATGTAAAGTTCCTCCCAAAATATCAAGCTCTTAAGAGGGTTTAATTGCCAGATGCCTAATATCAATATGCATTTGAGCATCCCTTTCAGGCTTTCAACTCAAATCCTTCATTTGGTTGCAAGACGCCCTTTGCGGGTTTTCATCTTGACCCTCATTTTCTATATATTTTTTCATCATTTTTCATTTCATTTAATTTTTTTCTTTTATTTTTATTTTATTTTTTATTTTTTCTTTTTTTCTTCTTCAAGCATAATATTTCTTGAAAGAATCTGAGTTTATTGGGTTTCTCAGAACTTTTCCATCCATTTCTGTCAAGATCAACGCTCCTCCGGAAAAGGCTTTTTTTACAACATATGGCCCTTCCCAATTAGGCATCCATTTCCCACGGAAATCTTTATGTATAGGCAAGATCTTTTTCAGCACTAGATCACCCTCTTGGAATTCTCTTGGATGTACTCTCTTGTCATGAGACTTCATCATCCGTTTCTAATACATCTGTCCATGGCAAATAGCTTTCAATCTCTTCTCATCAATAAGGTTCAATTGATCAAATCGAACTTGGATCCATTCAGACTCATCCAATTTTACCTCTCTAAAGATTCGAAGTGATGGGATCTCAACTTCAATCGGTAAGATTGCTTCCATTCCATAGACTAAAGAAAAAGGCGTTTCCCCAGTAGATGTTCGCACAGTAGTTCGATATGCATATAAAGCAAAAGGTAACTTCTCATGCCAATCTTTGTAAGTTTCAATAGTCTTTGTAATGATTCTCTTGATGTTCTTATTTGCTGCTTCAACTGCTCCATTCATCTTTGAACGATACGCCACTGAGTTTGCATGCTTGATTTTAAATTGTGCACAAAGTTCAGTCATCATTTTGTTGTTCAAGTTCAGAGCATTATCTGTAATGATACTCTCTGGTAGCCCATACCGGAAAATTATTTCTTTCTTTATAAATTTGCAAACTGTAGATCTCTTAATATTGGCATATGAAGCAACTTCAACCCACTTGGTAAAATAGTCAATTGCCACTAGGATGAAACAATGTCCATTTGATGCTTTTGGTGTGATTACCCCAATGACGTCTATTCCCCACATAGAAAATGGCCAACGTGTTGTCATTACATGTAAAGGAGATGGAGGTACATGAATCTTATCTGTATATACCTGGAATTTATGACATCTCCTTGCATAATCAATGCAATCTGTGTGCATGGTAGCCCAATAATATTCATATCTCATTATTTTTCTAGCCATGGAAAGACCATTTGCATGTGTTCCACATATCCCACTGTGTACTTCCTCAATGATGCTTCTGGCTTCGCTAGTATTTACAAATCTCAATAGCATTTGATCATTGTTTCTTCTGTAAAAAAGTCTCGCCATCAAGAAAGTATCCAGCAACCATTCTTCTCAATGTTCTTTTATCAATCTCAGATGCATTTTGTGGATAGCTTTGATATTTGATATATTGCAAGATATCATAATACCATGGCTTGCCATCTGCCTCTTCTTCCACAGTGTAGCAATGTACAGGAATTTTATATACTTGCATTTTAATTGGCATCATATCGACTTTATTCGTTGCTTGAAACATAGCAGCTAATGTAGCCAAAGCATCTACCATCTGATTTTCCTCTCGAGGGAGATAATTGAAAACTTTCTCAAATTCTTTCACTAATTCGAGGGTAAAATTTTGGTATTCCAGCAATTTGGGATCTTTCGTTTCCCATTCTCCTCGTAATTAATACACCACTAATGATGAATCTCCGTATATCTTGAGAAATTTAATTTTCCTTTCTATGGTTGCCTTCAATCCTATGACACAAGCTTCATATTCCGCCATGTTATTGGTGCAAAAGAACTATAGTCTACTTGTGAAAGGATAATAAATATTTTCTGGAGAGATCAACATTGCCCCAATTCCTCTTCCCAAGGTGTTGGATGCTCCATCAAAATAAAGCTTGCAGGATTCATCATTTGCTCTGACTTCTTCGTTCATGTTCATGGATATGCACAACAAATCTTCATCTGGAAAATTAAAACTCAGAGACTGATAATCATCTGATACTCGACTGGCCAGAAAATCAGCTATGACACTTCCTTTTATTGCTTTTTAATTGATATATACAATATCAAATTCGGATAATAACATCTGCCATCTAGCCATTTTGCCTGTCAAAGCTGGTGATTCTATTAAGAACTTTAAAGGATCAAGTCTAGATATCAGCCAAGTGGTATGATATAACATGTATTGTCTCAATCTTTGAGTAACCCACACCAAGGCACAACATAATTTTTTTATTGGTGGGTATCGAATTTCACAATCAGTAAATTTCTTACTCAGATAATAAATGGCTTTCT